TTCTGTGCCGCATTTTACACATTTCATAGCCTTTAGCTGGATGTGATGGGAGTTGTTATGGGTATTAAAACCGTAGCCAAAGTGTGCACAGTGTAAGCGATTTCTAAGGGAATTCTTGGAATAATTAATCATTTAAGAAGTCACTTTAACAAATAGCATACTCTATTAAAAATTAATTGTATATAAACATACTTTGCTCTAGTAACTTTGAAAGGTATATTTTGTATTCTTTAAAATTTTGTTATACTTCGAGTTTTTTCAAAATCTCATTATTTTTAATTTATTTAACACTGAAGCCTAAAAGTATGCTCACATTTACTATACATTGTATACAATGAATCCAAATGGGAAAGGGGTTTAGTGAAGTATATAATAATACTTAATAATTAAAATTAATACAATAACTATTTTCATATACCATACTCTGATGTACAGACTTTAATTAAATTATTCCGATTATTTGGAAGATTCTCATTATATTTATTTAACTTTTTAATTTGAATTTTTATTCATTTCGATCGCTAATAGCATTTGGCATTTCAAAATAAAGGGAAACATACTATGTTTTGTTGTAATATATTTTGGTATACGTGCAGTTGCAGTCGATTGTTGCTCAAAAAATTCAGCAATAAATCAAAAGTTGTACAGTCGGTTGAGGCAGCTTATATATATATATATATATATATATATATATATATATATATATATATATATATATATATATATATATACACAAGTGGACTGTCGGTGATGCTGTGCTGTCTTCACCGCAAGCCAAAACTTTGAAATAAATTTTCCTTCACTTAACTGGCTTCGCTTTTATAGTTTGTGCTTTTTAATTTGTGTATTGATGTTACTGTGTGTACGTGTATTTATCGTTCAGGGATTTCATTTTATTTTATTTCTACCCACACACATGGGCCATTCACAACAACAAAAGCGCAAATACCAAAATAAGAATTTACTGCAGTGGAAGGCATAAATAGTTTATAAACTAAGTGACACCGAAAACAACTGACCCAAGCTCTCAAAACACTACAAATAAAGCAAAAACCCGACGACAGAAGCAGCATCGCATTGTGCACATCGGCCGCATAGTCATGGGAAAATATGAACACACACACAAATAAACAACGACCACATATACACACACAAGCAGACGATAACTACAAACACTCGATTTACTTCACAGCAACAATAAAAAATAATAAATTTTACTTCCATAATTGGTGCCGCCACAAGCAGCCAGACTGCGTCTTGCTCGCAGCAACACCACCCACATAAACTCGCACAGGAGCAGGCAAGCGAATTATTTGAAATATTTTCCCTTTTATATACGAATATTTTGGTTGCCGTTCGTGTTTTTCATACTTTTTAAGGGGTTTACTCCTCTTGTGGCTGAGCAGAACATAGCTTCTTGCAACAACGACCGACCGACACCGACGGCACCACCAATGTCACAATCGCCAGAACCATTGTTCGTACCGCAATCGCCAACTGCCGTGTTGTTGGATCTTCCGCCTGATGTTTCTCTCGACTCGGTCCCAGTCCTTGCTTGACGGCAATTGTTGTGCATAAATTTAATTAATGGTCGCTGTGAATTTGCCGTTAGTTCAGTTGTTTTATATTATTGTAAAATTTTTATTCAAACAACAAAGTGTCGGCTGGCATTAGACCTCGCACACCATAACATAAATATCCTGGAGTGAAAAAGAGAAATCCAATTTGAGACAATAAACAAGCACGCTTACACCATACCAGCATCATTTTGAAAGTAATAAATGGAAAGATTTGCTTCTCAGTAATACGTTTTTTTTTTTTTTATAACTGAAGCGTTTTCAGTTCAAAGAGTTTAGCTCGTTGAAGTAGTTCAAGGACTTATAGTAAGTAACTAATTGGGAAATTATTAAATAAATATATATAAAATACCATTTCAAGTTTAAAATGCTGTTTGACGAACACCAATTAAACAATTTTGTACACCGGCAACTAAACTTTGAACTTCTGGTTTTTGAACAAGACTCAAAGCCAATCTAAGCATACCGGCGCAACGATAAAATACATTAAAGCTATCACAGCTGGATAAGGATTTGTATTTCGACTTTTTATGGCTCCCAAGAAGTATGTCTAGACTTGAGGCTGGCGACATCGGAGAGGCTCCCGAGGGGGCAACAAACGTTAAAAGCCCCAGCTTCCAAGTTGAAAATAGTTGTTGTTGCTGGAGAGCTTGGTGGATGAGTTTCTGCATCTATTTGTGAGATAAATGCTTGTAGTCATTTTTTTGACAAGCTCTTTTCTACCGGGAGAGCTGTTGATATACCTACTTGTATGTACGTATTTACATTTAATTTTAGTTCAGAAATTGGAGACGCACTTGACGTGAAGTGCTGCGACGCTGTATCTACAACATTTCCGGTGAAATTCGTCAAAAAGTTTTTGTACTTAAATAGAATTACTTTCTTAGGGCATGTAGAGTTTGCGAATATGTCACATTTTGTTTTTTAATTAAAAGTAAATACGATCGCTGGTTAGTTTAACATGACTCCAAGTGACATATACATATTGGTAGCAATGCTATAAAAATATAAATTATTTTTTTATTTTTACATTCTTAAACACAAGTAAAAATCAGTCAGGTGAAAGTGTGAAGCACCTTTCCATTATATTATTAGTAAAATGTATATATATTTATCTTGTGTGTCTACTTATCAACGTATTGATAAGCACAAAACATTCTTGTTTTTATGAGAAATTGGCGTACCTTGCTATATGTCGTGTTGTTGTAGAACTTGTTTGGCAAGTAAACGCTATGTGTGCTTTCCGCATTGGTCCTAAAATCAACAGACGGGCCCAGTCTAATCAAGTTTTGCACAAATTCGAGGGTATATCAACTATTGCCCTATGAAATTAGCAAATAATCGCGCTAATTGTAGCTGATAGTTGCAACAGCCACAAGCACCCGCCAGTACTCGTATACTATGATTAATATCATGGAAGTAAGAGGTCTGCCGGTAGAGCAAGACTTTTAAATGCAAGGTCAGCTGGGCTGTCTTGACTGCTACTGCGATTTGGTATCGGCACTTCTGGTAGCCACATGAGCCAGACCGCATTAACCAATCCACTCAAAACTCGTTTTTAACATTACCGCATACCTCTTAACATTTACCATTTAAAGGTAAGGAGTACCGTTGAGAGAGATGGCAGAGCATGTGGAAATACAATAAATGTCGCTCACTTTATTTAAATTCTACTATATAAACTCCGTAAAATGGAACAATATGTAAGAGTTAATGGATTCTTGTTATCCCAACAACATATTTAGCCTTAGTAAAAGATATAGCCATAGCTTTTTCTGCTTTGCTGTAAGTCTGTGGCGATCGGCAGACAGGTTTTTAATTTAAGTCGGCAGCTGGGAAGCATCACTTTTCCTTTTGAATGGAAGTCAAGGTCGTATTTACACAAAAACAATAGAAATACGATAAAAGAAACCGAAACAAAAACATAAACTCAGTTAGGACAGCACTGATGACGGTGAAGTTAGAAAAAAAAGAAATCATAAATATTTATATTATAAGGTTTAGCTGGTTGATGTATAAAAAAAACCGGTGGTGTTGGTGGTAAAGCAGCAATAGCAAAAATAAAACAAGAAACAATAATGTATTAGCGCATAATTTTCATATTAAACCGGTTCGGGGATTTGGCAACACTCTGCTTATTATTATTTTCCATTTAGTATTTTCTACATCAGTCTCTGCTTATTATTTTTTACCATTTAGTATTTTGTACATCTGTCTATCAACTCCTAACACACTATTGTACTAGATATACATTTTTTCATAGCTGGAGTTTCCACTTTATGATTTAATGCATATTGAATGTTTCACGGCGTTGAAAAAATATGCAGCATCAGTGGAACTTGATTTATTATGAAATGTAAAATATTGATATTTCAATTGACGCAGTTTTCCCAACGCATACATTCGCAGCAAGGGCCTGGAGTTTTATATAAAAAAAATTGTTTTTAAAAATAAATTAATGTGAAGCTTTTATGGAACGCTACCTAAATGTATTCAAAAATTTGCTTTTATGTTGACTTCTTTTGTTAATTTACAAAATAATTAATTGAAATTTAATTTGAAAAGCCCCTCGATAATGTGGGCACAATGCATATTAATTTAATGGCTCCATTTGATGCGAAAGCTAACGCGCAAATTTCATATATTATGCTAATTAATCTGCCCCAGATGAGTGCTCAAAGTAAATGCACCGATTTGCGTATGCTTAACATACGAAATGCCACAGTTCAATTAAATTCGCTTTATGTAGAAATATAAAAAACGAGTTTATTGTGCTTATATTGCACTACTTAGAATTTGATACACGAAATCAATCAAATTTCCCATCTCACTGCTGTGAATCACTGCCTGAAGGCGAATTCCGACTAGAATCAAAATAAATCGAAGTATTTAAAAAAATAAGAGATACACTTGACACTTGGAAATAGCGAAAAACATATTTAAAATGTATATATTTCGATGTGCATGGCACCAACTTATTTTTCTACCAATTTTCTACCAAATTTTTTTAAAATAATGTACTGTTAATAATTTTTATTTTGTGCTAGTTGCAGTACTTATGAGAGTCGTTGTCCAACACGAAGAGCACTTGGGATCGTGCTCTTTAATGCTCGCGATAAGCATAACTATCTTTTTGCTTGACGCTGGCATTTCGAGCACGACATTTGCTCAGCTCTCTGTGACTGTTGTTGTTTGTATAAATGTGAGCATGAGCACGAGTACAACTGTGAATGTGTGTGTGAATGTGCGTGTGTATGTGTGTTGGGTACTCCGGCTATGCCTCTGGCTCTGACTCTGACTGTGACTCTTTGGCATTAACGATCGCAGAGCTTCTGTGGATCGGCGCGTCGACGCTGGCGTCGGTAGCGTCGCTCGCCTATAAAAGCAGCGCATTTAGTTGGCGTTGTTTTTCGAAGTGAGCTCAGTGTTAATTTCACAGCGGTGTTGGCCAGTAGCGAGTTCGTTTCCAGACCCAGACCAACCTGTTACCACGTCAAAGTCAAAAACTGCACCATACGACCAATTAAATAAACCAATCCCAGCTGCGAATACCGTGTGAGTGTAGAATCAAGTGTTTTAGTGTGCATCTCGTTGATCATTCTCCCTCAACCACCATAAGAAAAAACAAATGCAACTGTTCAAACGGCTTGAAGGTTCGATTCGCGCAATTTATTTTCGATATCAAAATAGTAATCAGTTTTGCTGATAGTTCAGTGCGTGTTGCGGAGTTGTGGTGTTGTCTGCACAACAAACTCTAATTGAATTATTTAATAACGGCAAAAAAACACGAAAATGTTATGGGGCAACAAAACTCGCTTTATACCCAGCATTGCGGTCAAAATTCGTTGTCTCGTCTTATATAAAATACCTGTTCGCTGTTTGCAGCGCTGCTGATTGCCGTTTCAGACCGCAAATACACACACACACACACACACACACACACACACACCCACACACATACTACACACTCACAAACGTGCACACGTAGTCCACGCCAGTTCCATGCAGCAGAAAAAAAAAACCAAAAAAAAAACCAAAATAAAAGCGATAAAAAGTTGCAAGTGCCACGAGCAGATGAGGGCGTTCGCGAAATCCAAAAATGTGTGGCACCATTTTAAATACCCTACAATTTGCATACAAAGAAGATAAGCAAACTAATAATATGTGTCGGTAGAGTTTACTCAACTGGTTGAAAAGTCAATTTGAGATCCACAACCCATATACTATTTGAGGCGTCGATACAATGTTCTATTGTAATCTGGCTTATCTGTTATCGTTATCGGATTGCTCTGCAAGTAATGAGTTGATAACTACCGGAAAGTTTTCCGTTTTTGAGATACTGTTATTCCGGGGAACTCGCTTGTGTTATGAATGGAAAGAGCGTAACACAAATAGTGTAATTTATAGATTAAAAACAATGTTAAACTTTAATTTACGGTTAAACGTTTGAGCAATCGCACTCAAGCAGATTGGCAAATATATTAATAATTAGCCTGTCGCACGAGCTCCAATAATCAGTCAGTATGTCACTGCCCATCTGGGATTTATTCAACTTGGGGGCACGATAACTTTTATTAGTTTTGCTTTCTCAACGTTCTTCCACTTTTTACGATTCCCCCCATTGATTAAACGTGCAGCAATTTACAATCCATGCTATTAGACTTTGAGGGTGTGCTAAAGAAGACGTTGCCGCGTGTGGCAACTATTCTGCCTCTCTTTAGGGTCTTTGTAAGTTGCAAGTGTTTCATTAGTGGAAATCTTCGCCAGACTCTGTTTACAAGAGTTAACCATTCACCAAGCAGAATTGTAGGTGCCGATAAGATCCAGGGATGAGTTCTGCAAAAGTGAATCGTTTTAATTACAATAGTGGAGTATGCTTCATTTGCAGCTCTAAGTTCGGGCAGCCGGCAAGCACCGGTGGCAAATTAAAAATGCCAATCACAGCCAAGAGGCGTGACTGAAGAGTATTTTTGTGTATATGTGTGTGTGTGCCCTAACTATTGATGATGGCCACTGAAGAAACAATGAAAGACGTGGCAAGGGTTAATATGAAAGCTTTTCAGAATTCTGTCACACTCACAATCATCAGAACGAGAATGGGGGTGACGACGGCGACGGCGACGAAGACCGAGTTAGAGTCGAGTACGTGTTGCACCTGAAATGGCCCCTACTCCTTGTTCCACTGGCTGCAAAACTTTGGAACGAGGTGTACACTTAAATACACACATAGACCAGAGAGCAGTAAACACGTTTTGTGCTAAATGATAAAAATTCCAATTTACTATGACCATTCAGAGGAAATTATGCTCCAGCATGTGCGTTTAGTGGTGATTCCAACTCAAATCTACATACATAAATTCTATATACTTATACTGAATCATACATTGTACATACAAACACACATGTTCATATGTGTGTAGCACTCTCTCTTAAAATAGAGACCCGGATCTGGAGTCGCTCCCAGTTGAACGCATGTGGCAACATACATATCTATATATAAATATATATACATATGTATATATAGAGACACACTTCTTACGACTTTATACGACGTATATAACTAGATAAAAACAACAACAAAGTAGTAGCTGTAAGGCAATTCCACTCAGAATACTTTAGTTGAGACTGCCCAACGAGGCGATACCCTGAATCCAAATCTGACCCCGCTCAACCATGTTATGTAGCACCATATAAATATATAAAAAATACTTATTGTTTTTGTCAAAAAGATATGATAACTAATTTTACAGAAAACGGAGAGATCGACTTGGCTATAAATGCTTATTAACAATTTAACTACTTTATTCGATCATAGCATCCGCTTACAATAGTTTTCATAAAAACAGGGTATGCAACACGCAAAACCAAAAGAAGAATGCTGAATACAAGAAATTGCCATTTGATTTAGAACTGAGAAATCATGTTTACCAAGCAGCATCGGGAACGAGGACGGGACCTCGAACTAGAACTATATATAACTAAGTGGACCGGTAGCCGCAGCGGAAAGAAAGATTCAGAAGAGTTGACATGTTGATAAGAACTCCCATGCGCTTTTTCTTATATAGATTCTCATGGGCATACACACTCGTACACAAACTGCTTAATGGCAGAGGGGTTCTACAAACACCCGTAATCTAAACCCGTACCCGTAATTTAAAATTGTGTACTTGCTTTTTCCATGACGAGCGTTTCACGGTTCGATAATATTAATCATATTAATCATCATAACATTATCAATGGAGTAAATACGTTGAACCCATTCATTTTATCTACTATTAATTAAATATACCAAATGATTACATTCTTCTTATCAAAAATAAACTCTAATTTATATCTGCTCATTTATATTTTCAGGTAAACGCAAAATCTTCAGCAATATCGTTAAATTGATCAAACAATAAAATGTGTGGTAAGTAATTCCAAAGTCAAAAACATACTTACATTCATAACTAAAAATTCTGTATGAAAAAATATAATTTACTGAGTAGAATAATTTCTTATTTATGCCTAAATAAAGTCGGTGATAAATTGAATGAACAAGTAAAGTTGATAATTAGTTTGTTATTCTTCTTATAAGCATTATTATATTTTCATATGTGGCTTAAATACTTTTTAAGCTAAGTATAATTTTATATCCATATATTGTTGGTACTTGAAGTCACTTTTATTCTTAAATGTTTACCATTGTAAGAGGGCGTTCAGCGCACTGTAAGGAAATATGTAACTAAAGATTTATGAATTCCAATTACACAATTCACTTGGTATTTATATATTCGATTTAATTCGCTGGCGTCGTTGGCCTTTCACCGCACTCGACTTCGAAAATAACTTCTACTGAACGCCCACAACCTCGCTGAGCCACTTATCCAAGTGGTGCACTTAGTTGTAAAGCCCAAACCCAAACTGGTTTTTGCCTCAGATGCAGATTTCCTCATAACTGGTCGTGTTTTGGGCTGGGCTTAGCTCTTGCAAAATATGTTTGTTGCATATATATTTTTTTCATTATTTGTTTCTTGTATATGTGTAGGTATATTAATAAACTGTCTGGGATTGAAACTTGAATTACCCAATATTATAGCCAAGCTGTACTGAGCGTATTAAGTAATGCGAATTGGTTATGAAGTGGACACTTATTGATAAAATGGTTGTTTTTTGCCCCCAGGAATATTCGCTTATTTGAATTACCTAACACCAAAGTCACGACAGGAGGTGTTGGATCTGCTGGTGACAGGATTGAAGCGACTAGAATATCGTGGATATGACTCCACGGGCGTAGCTATAGACTCACTGGACAACAAGGATATTATAATGGTTAAGCGCACTGGCAAGGTCAAAGTGCTGGAGGATGCCATTCAAGAGCGTAAGATGCAGCTGAGTCTGAAATACACAACAATATGTTGCTAAGCGATTAGATTTTCATTGTTGCAGACTTTAGCGGGGATGATTACAGCGAGCCGGTGCTCAACCACGTGGGCATCGCACACACTCGCTGGGCCACCCACGGAGTTCCCTGCGAGCGGAACTCTCATCCACAACGCTCTGACGATGGCAACAGCTTTGTTGTGGTTCACAATGGAATCATCACCAACTACAATGACGTGAAGACCTTCCTGGCGAAGAAGGGCTACGAATTCGAGTCGGACACGGACACAGAAGTGTTTGCCAAGCTGGTGCATCACCTCTGGAAAAAGCATCCCAACTACTCGTTCCGCGAACTGGTCGAGCAGGCCATACAACAAGTGGTAAGTTAATTCAAAACCTAACCTTATTAAGGACAAACTCTTATTGATGTCATGACTTTATTGATGTTTTGTAGGAGGGCGCATTTGCCATTGCTGTCAAGTCGAAGCATTTCCCCGGCGAGTGTGTTGCCTCGAGACGCAGCTCCCCTCTGCTGGTCGCAATTAAGACAAGGACCCGTCTGGCTGGTGATCACATTCCCATCCTATACGGCAAAGGTAAGTGACGGAAGAAAGATATTCTGAAGGGAGACATCTACTAGTAGGCTCTACTCTCTTTCATTCTATTCATATAACAATTCTCTTGTTTCTTATCTTAATGTATGTACGTTCTCGTATCTGTCTGTGTCATACTATGTTTTCCAAATAACCAATTGTCGTTCCCTGCCGTCTCTCTGAAATTCTTCAACACTATCGCCCCACTGCATTCTTTGGCGCCCCTTCCTCCTCGTTTCACTGCTGCCCCACTGTGTTACTTGCAACGTGTAGATGACAAGAAGCAGAGCTCCGATCAAGGTAGTCAACTAGTCTACACCAAATCCTATTAAACTCTGCTTTTCGACGGTGGCTGGGTATCGGTATGTCGTACAGTACCAAACTAATGACTTTTTGCTTCACTCCCAAATCGACTAACTCTTCTAATCCTGTGCTAATCCTCTATCTTAAGCATATCTAAGTTCAAATTGTTTCTAAGCATTTTACTTAGCAATTGATATTTTTCTCTTTCCCGTGTATAGATGCCGACTCTGGTAAGGCCGTAGGTAATTAAAAGTTGCAATATTTTTTATAATAAATATGCCTATCAGCATACATACGGTCAACTGTATAGATACCACATTTTTTCCACACTTTTTTTTTAACTCCGTTATCTTATCCTTATCGCTCTTCTTCCGCTTCCTTCCTCGCTCTTTCTTTCATTAAAAAAGGCATCAAATTTAATAATGCATTTTCTGTACACTCTTTGAGCTTGTGAAATTTTTCTTTATTGAAAGCCAACGGCAAAATTAATTGCACTCACTTATAAATTTAGAGCATGCATCAATCTAAATCAATAGAAAATCTATAATTCTAAGCAAATTCACATCACTTTACGCTTGAATCGCATACTGAAAAATAGCAATATTCGGCACATCAATTACTAGATACCATTTCAGACTAATTTGGACAATAAAGAATGAACTCATTAACTTTGAATGGCATCTGCAAGGTTGTGTTCCCAAAACTCTGATCTCTGTAAATATTATTTAATTGTAAGCGAATAGTGGAATGGACACAGTTATGTGCATAACTAAGTTGCCTAAATTATCGTTTATTTTGTATGTCATATATTTAATTAGTAATTGGGTCTCATATATATTATTATAAAAATCATTTCCTATAATTCTCATTTGTGGTGGTGGTTATTTTGTGGCCGCACTGCAAAATGTTTGGCAATAAGCTTTGTTATTGTTTTTGTTGTCACAGTGCTGATGTTGACTATTCTATTTATTTTCGTTTCTGATTTGCATTACCCCCTCCACTGGGTAAAACACAAACGCACACATACAAAAACAACAACAACAACAACACTACTCACATATTTAAATATATGTATAATTGCTAACGCTTGCATCACCGTCAAATGCGTCTCGTCTGCCTCGGTACTGTCCTGACCGCATTGCCCTTGTTAATTCGGTCAAAATGCAACGCTATCGACATCGAAATCGAAATCGCAACTGCAACCGCCATTGCAACACCTTTTCTTGCAACTGCAAATGCAAATACAAATACAACGGTTAATGCCATTAAACGTGCAACGCCATTAAATCGCCAACGTCAACACTATCAAAATGTTAAACTAACTGAACAGAGTTGCGCCCGCATGGACAAACTCGTGAATTACCAGTGTTGCCACGTTCGGATAGCACCGCGGAGTTCATGCCGCTCGAGGAGAAGGAGGTGGAATACTTCTTTGCGTCGGATGCCTCTGCTGTCATTGAGCACACTAACCGTGTCATCTACTTGGAGGTGAGTGTCGAACATTTCAAAATATTCAATTGAAAAATACTTAAAGCTCGAATACTCCTTGAAGGACGATGATGTGGCTGCTGTGAGAGATGGCACACTGAGCATCCATCGTCTGAAGAAGAGCCTGGACGATCCGCATGCCCGTGAGATTACCACACTGAAAATGGAAATACAGCAGATCATGAAGGGCAACTACGACTACTTCATGCAGAAGGAGATCTTTGAGCAGCCCGAGTCGGTGGTGAACACAATGCGTGGTCGCGTCCGTTTCGATGGCACCACCATCGTGCTGGGCGGCATTAAGGACTACATTCCGGAGATCAAACGTTGTCGCCGCTTAATGCTGATCGGATGCGGAACATCCTATCACAGTGCCGTGGCTACACGACAGCTGCTGGAGGAGCTGACCGAGCTGCCCGTTATGGTCGAACTGGCCTCCGACTTCCTTGACCGCAACACGCCCATTTTCCGTGACGACGTTTGCTTCTTTATCTCGCAATCGGGTGAAACCGCTGACACTCTGATGGCTTTGCGGTACTGCAAGCAGCGTGGAGCTCTGATCGTTGGCATCACCAACACTGTGGGCAGCAGCATATGTCGCGAGTCGCACTGCGGCGTGCACATCAATGCCGGTCCCGAGATTGGTGTCGCGTCCACCAAGGCATATACATCGCAGTTCATATCGCTGGTCATGTTTGCGCTGGTCATGTCGGAGGATCGTCTGTCGCTGCAGCAGCGTCGCCTGGAGATTCTGCAGGCACTCTCCAAGCTTGCTGATCAGATTCGCGAGGTGCTCAAGCTCGACTCTAAGGTACAGGAGCTTGCTAAGGATCTCTACCAGCATAAGTCGCTCCTAATCATGGGTCGCGGCTACAATTTCGCCACTTGTCTAGAGGGTGCTCTGGTAAGACGAAACCTTTTACTTTCACACAACTAGTCTGAAACTATATTCAAAATTGTTTGTTACTTCAACAGAAAGTAAAGGAACTGACTTATATGCACAGTGAGGGCATAATGGCTGGTGAACTGAAACACGGTCCGTTGGCTCTCGTGGATGATTCGATGCCTGTGCTGATGATTGTTCTGCGTGATCCAGTTTATGTCAAGTGCATGAATGCACTGCAGCAGGTCACCTCGCGCAAGGGTTGTCCAGTGATCATCTGCGAGGAAGGTGATGAGGAGACAAAGGCCTTCTCTTCGCGCCATCTTGAAATTCCCCGCACTGTCGACTGTCTGCAGGGCATCCTTACCGTTATACCCATGCAGCTGCTCTCCTACCACATTGCTGTACTGCGCGGCTGCGACGTCGACTGTCCGCGAAACTTGGCCAAGTCGGTCACAGTGGAGTAAGCAATCTTATCACAGGTCGGGGACTCTCTAAGTACTTACATATGGCGCATCTTAGCGCATTCCTTCCATGATAATCTCTATATACAACCATACACTCACACAAATGTGAGTAATGAAACCTATTCGCACATTTATGTGTACATATACATACACGATTTGATTTTACCTTTTAAATCATAACAATGCAAACTACTTGCTAAAATAAAATTGAAATTGTTTTGTTAAATGCATTTTGAACTCGAATTTGTCTGGCTATCTAGTATACGCAATACATGATTATTTGAAAGTAATCTTCCAACAGACCTCTTATTATATCTTATTAAAGACAACAGTGAATATCATTTTTGGAGACTGTACATTTGAATTTATTGTACATAATTTGGATCCTTAGAGCCCTGTCAAGTGTGCAATACAAGCTTTAATTAAATTCAACTTTAAATTGGATGACATAAAAATCTAATGCCCCAAATGTTTGCCACAAGAAAATACATGACAAAAAAAAAATTAGGTCGGCGGCGCTGAAAATGCTCGTAGGGTCTTTGCAGGGCGTAAACGTAAAGTTTATTTTTATTGAAAGTTGCGGTGTTGCTGGTATCAGCAGTAAACGGTTATGTCTTCAAGCAAAACCCAAAACCAACTACCAAATCCAAACAAAACACCAACGAATAAATGGAAAATATCAAAATGGCCACCGCTAAGCCAAATCTGCGGCCCAGCCGCCGCAACCCCTCTCGCGGCTGACATGGCAATCGCCAGGTTTTCGAAAACACACACACACACACATACACAGACTTACACACACACACACACTCAAAGCATTCACAGAATTGAACATACCCAGCAATGTTCCTATTATTTTCAATTCGCATTGAATTTTCGAAGGGCACATAATCTAGATTAAGGGATGCAGAATGTAGATACAGACACACTTGGACTCCAGCCAGGCATTTCTCGGAGCCAAAAGGCGTTAGACATATTTGGGTTGATGTTTTCATTGGCAAAAATAGCTAAGGGGCGATTTCGTTAGCTAAGTGTATTGTTTTTCAAGATTTAGCAACAATGTATTAGGACCACAAAACCAACCAGCCAACCAACAATGGGCTAAAAGTCTAAATTCCAAATAAGAGTTTATCTATGACTACTAAGTTTCTACTTTAGAGCGTCACCAAGAATAGGTCTACAGCATGTAACGCCTCTTATAAATGTTCTATATCTCAAAATTTACATGTTGTTATTTTTCACCCATTGTTGTTATCTGCTCGATGGTTAATTAACTTATGGACTGTCAATGCGAAGGGGCGAGTTAAGCTCTCTGGGGCTTATGTGGTAGATTCTGTGGGGGTAAAATTGAAATGCTTAATGTTCGACTACGAATTTATTGCAACGCCTGTCTGCCAATGGAAAACTCAATGGCCAGACCATCCGCAATTGGTTTTCGAGTGCATTAAGTTTAGTGGATTTTAGAAAATGTCTGGGCAGTCAAAGTTCCAAAGCCGCAAGCTCTACCCGATAGAAGTACGTTGCGGATGATGTTCAACATGCTCAAATCCTGCTTTTTGGCACCGTTTAAGAAGCTTACTTTAATGTGGTGTTCGCTGTGAAAATGATTTGTAATGAAAGCATGTTTATGCATTTTTCGTCTTGCAAAAAACTTGTGAAACTGTTATACAAACACGTTCAGGTAATAACATAAAAAACTTTTATCTCGCCACAGTCGTGAGCAGTTACCTCTTACTCTACATTTACATTTACCTTTACTTTTACTTTGTGCTTCGGCTTAAGCATTAGCTTCAGCTTAAGCTTAACCAGTGCTATTGCGACCCTTACATAGAACGAGCAAAGTACTTGGCTCAACATCGATGGGGGGCACGTTCAGCTTATTTCTCAAATTGCCTCATTAGAAACTGTAATGCATATCCGGTTTATCGCCAATTCCCACATAGCCGCACATATTTAACTGTGTCGCCATCCGTTTGGCCCCAGCATTTTCCCAATTCAATTGCGGAAAGTGTGAGTATTCCTTCGAAAGTTAAATCCGTTGCGAGTGGGGACTTCAAGCAATTAATGTTAAGCTTGGCATTAGGATTCAATATATTATTTCTTTATTGTCAAACTGACAATTCAGTGCACCAAACTATTTGAGAGGATTGTGTAAGCTCGCAAGTATTTCATGTTGTTGTTGCCATATTGTCATTAGCTAGATAACAGCTTGGAGTCTAGTTATTACTCAGACCTCATCGAGCTATGTAAGCCACAAGTCAACGGGCGCTTGTTGACTTTCTGCTTCAACACTCAATTGATTGGGGTAGTTGGATTGTTAGTCAGCGTCGGAGATGGGGAGTTGTGTGGATTGATGCCATTGATTGATATCAAATAGAGCAGGCCCTTGGTCTCTTGGGGATTTGCGGTAGTGCGTTTTGCGGCACATTAACACCAGACGCTGTGGTGCCAATTTATTTTTCAAAGTCAGACGTCGGCCTAAGCTTCTATTTAGGTAATAAAGACGACAGCAGAGATTCCATTTGTGCAAATTGTAACTGTCAGGCGCATGACAGCTCGCCACGAAAAACCCACATAAATATATCTGCCAAGGGAACGCGGTTTGATTTCGGGTCGCATTCGAAATGTATGACTTTCAATGGGTTTTAGCATATATGTTTAGCAGGTGAACTTACCCTCGGGATAATGATAAATGCTTTTACGAGTATCAAACTTCGTAGCATTGTGTCTCTGGAGGAAGGGAGGATAATTGAATATACATATTTGCAAAGTTATCTCATTTCATTCTCCTCAGTTGCAAGAGCTGCGCGTAAACCCGTTTTAAATATGCAACAAAAAGTTTCCAAAGTTAGTTCAGAAAATAACTTTAACAATGATGAGTGCAAACTTTCTAGATAGCTGTTAAGGGAATGGTACTGTCCAAGTCCAAGGGGATTTACTGGGCTTCGCTGTTATTGTTGAACCGAAAATAGTGCTGGCCTGGGAGATCGCAGGGCTGGGTATCTGTTGAAAAGTTTGAAAACAAACGCAATCCAATACAATTGAAATTATAATTGTTATGTCTCTTGTAGCCAAAACATTAATTTGTAAAGAATCCGATACAGATCTACAAGCTAGGACAAACAATGAGACGTACACAGGTGCAAATATATCAGGTGACCACATAGAGAGAGAGAGAGAGGGAGAGAGAGACAGAGCGTACCCAACAATCTAATTTACAAACTTAATATTCTGCTCTCGTCTGTCGGTGAACAACTCCTAGGCTTGCTACAATGAATATGCCACACTTTATATGACTCTCATCCCCTTTTCCGCAAATGGTTTTCAGATCTCTACATTTCGCTGAATATGAGCCCAAGTGCATGTTGTGCAGCATTAGTATGTACTACTTTATATATATTGTAATTTAATATCTAACTCAAGGCAAAGGAGGCGTAGACGGAAAGCTTGGGTCTCCATCTCGTCAATAAGAGCACCCACACAATGGGTTTATTTGCAATTCCAACGCAAATTTCCAAGCCACAGCAGGCTCTGGGCGGATATGCTTGCCAAACAAACAATGACACCGAAAACAAAATTTCCACAGTAATGCCAAACCATAATATGAAAGTAAAATTTAAGTGTTTAAGTTTTGATACCCTATGCCATTAACAAAAGTTAATAATTTAGAGTTTTCAATTTAAATTACGTATAAATATTGCAGATTCTTGCCGTTCATATTTTAAGTAATATATACTTTATTTCAAGAATATTCTTAATTTCATTAGAGGCATGACGATCATTCGTTAAATATTATATATAATAAAGAAGTATTTATTAAAAACTGACAATAATAAAATGTACTAAAAAGCATTTCAAGCACCAAATTTTGTAAAGAGCATATCTCAAAGTCGATCACCTTTCTGACGCATTTTATGCCAGCTTTATGAGAAAGTAACAACACCGCGCCAATCCGGCAATTCCATGTCCCGGCGAAACGTTTTTTCCCACACGACAGTTGTGACCACTTCCGATGTCTTTGTATCTTCTTCCCGATGTGTGTTCTTATTTCCAATAGGCAACACCGCTGCAACGAGAGCGACAAAGGCGTACACGAAGATGACGACAACGTTACCAACGCTGATGCCATTTTGCATACAAGAATAACGTCGCTCATACGCCACGTTGGCTATAATATTTCATGAAACTAATGAACCACGCAGTGTTATGTGCGTTGCCTTTTCGTATGGTGTGCGTGTGTGATTGTGTGTGCGTATGCGTGTCGTGAGTGGTATACTTGCGCCTTGGTGTCTCAACTCTTGTTGCTCTCTTGTGGCAGCTTTTGTTTACATTTACATTTGTCTTTGCTTTCCCACACACAATCTTACTATTGAATGCACGTATGTGTGTGTGTATATGTTTTTTGTGTTTGTGTGGGTAAGTGCACAGGCACAATATTCCCCCAGAAAGCTGCTTATGCAAACATATTTATGTGGATACGTGCTGCTGCATATCTTTTCAAAATTTTACATTTCACCAGTCCGGCAGGCAACCAGTAAAAATATTTCCCCTACTTTATTTGCAAGCACTTCAGATCCCCTGGCATTTCCGGCACAGGTTTCAGGCTCATCTGCATATATACAACTCACAATATTCGAGGAGTGGCTGGGGCCGACATTGTGTATTGCAAATAGCTTTTGACACATGATGCCACCTGGCCCACCATTATTTCAATGCAAGATATATTCAAGTGCAATAAGCCAATAATTTTACAAGTATTCGAGCCAAAACACTGATACCCAACTAGTATTATTAAATTATTGAGATTGAGAGGAGAAACGAATACAAAGGGATCCCAAAATTGAATTATAAGTATTTAGTATTTTTGTATAATTTTTTGTCCAAGTCAGTCAGATTCAGTGAGTACTGCTAAACAAGTCGACGGGAGAATAAGGTCCCAAGCTGCATGTTTTCACCATTGCCATAACAAAATCTGTTAAGCAACAAATAGAATAAAACATGTATGCTAAGTAAGTGTAAAGCATATGCCCCAGTACTGTGAATCTTAGGTGCTGTACAACATTAAAGAGATTTATTAGCGTAAAGTGGATTTTAGCATAAATCAGATAGCTCTTAAGGAATGGGAAAAACGCGTACCTTCCCGAAAGGAAAATATATGATCTCAACACTCCTCGACTAGAGAACACTCCTCAACTGCTTCTGTAATAGAATACATTTAGCTTTGAGAGAGAGAATTACTCTGAATAGTAAGCTCTCATCCGGCAAGATGGCCCCATTTTAAATCATAAAATATTTATGCTTCCCTCCGGGCGCGTCTGCAATTCTACTTAGTTTACGGTCCTCATAAATTGAGTGGGCATAAAATACTTACACCGAAACACATTTAATCGAAATCTGAAGAGCAGCCTTAATGGACTGGGCAGCAAACTCAAGCTCTGCGTGCGGTTGTTGAATCCAACTCATTCTGTGAAGACAGACAGTTTATGATACTCAAGGACATGCCACTTCTAAGGACAATTTTCCCCGTGAGCCGTTGAACTTAAAAAAAAGAAGATACTCAATTACCCAGCACGTGCAATGTCAGACAAACAACCTTCGTCGACATTGTGTCTAATCTTCTAATGTTCTAATGGCTGCTATATTTTTGTGAAGTTGATTGTACCGTCATAAAAACATATGGCCACACCTTAACCTTAGGTGTCGACCAGTCCAAATATTTAATGGGCAACTGTGATAACATATTAATTTTTATGGGCACAGACTACAGTAACAATAAACGATTGAAATCGATTTGAAAAATTTATCTATACCGATAGTCAAGTCGGGTTGATTGTCTAACCCAACCATAAAATGTAATTAAAAACCCTTCACATACGCATACGGAAAATGTTAATATTTCAGTAAATTGCTAAGTTACATTTTAAATAATTAGTTGAAGGTAATTTTAAAATAGCCAACAACCGGTTGCTACCCAAGTTGTCAGATCAAAGTAAAGAAACTTTTATGCAACTTGTGATTTAAATATTTTCTTATATAAGATAAAACATTTCCATGATCGGTATTAAATTAACACAACGTCTGGTTAGAATCAACGAAACTAAATGTGTTTGATGATTGTAGATTTGGCTCAGAGTGGTTCAGCCGGTTTGTTGCCTTGAATTATATAATTAACATTTATAGAATACAGAAACGCTTCAATGCTCTAAACTATATTCACGAATAGAAGTCACCAATATATTTACTGACTTTTACGAGTTTCCATGAAGATGTACACTGAAATATTAAGATTCAAATTTACTCTCAAATCTTATGGTGATTTCAGAAGTGTATTCGATCTATGTATTTTCAGCGTCATAACTTCGACAAAAGAATCAATCAACACGTCAAAGTAAGTTTTCAAAGCGAAGATTTGAATCGAATTTGTTTGTGATTTCTGTTTGAGTCTGTCGTCTGCCTCTAAAAACAGGTTTTTATGCTAATTGATCGCACAGAACAACCCATTGTCAATAAGAAAACTATGCGGACTAGTATCAAATCACTTCCGCACAAAGTAAACTACAAACTATTCTTAAAGATTTGAAATGTATTCTAATTATCGACAGTGAAACGATATAACTTGAGTATCAATTAAACATTTGATAACATTCGATAAGTTTACTTAATTTATATACCTACACAGGTGCGAGTCTGTAGAATTCAAATATATAGTGTCATATTTATGATTGAGAAGCTGGCAAGTAAGAGGTTGCAGGTGTTGGAGTCCGATACGTGTATCCGTTGGTGGTAGGTGTCGCTGTGGGTAGGGGTGGCTGATACGTATATCCCTGAGTGGTGGTTATAGGTGGCTGATACGTATATCCCTGAGTGGTGGTTATAGGTGGCTGATACGTATATCCCTGAGTGGTGGTTATAGGTGGCTGATACGTATATCCACTGGTGGTTCTCGTTGTTGTTGAGTCCAGTGTGCTCTCTGTGGTGCTCTTCGTGGGAATCACTGGCGTAGACGTTGTAATCGGCTTGAGGGGATGTACTGTAGGCTTCGGCGTCGCAATGTCTCCGTCTGTTGTTGTTGTGTACACAGATTGAGTGCTGGAGCTAACTTCCGGTATAAAATCTGTGTTTACCTCAGTGGTGTGCTGCGTCACTGGCCTATCCGTGGTCGACGTCGTCGTCGTCGTCGTCGAACCCAAAAATGAGATCTCTTTCCGGATGCCAAAGGATGATTTGACCTGCAGCAAACTATTCAGTAATTGAAACTTCTGTGATATCAGATTGGAGATTAACTGAGAATTAATCGGTGATGACGTTGCTGTGGATCGAACTGTTCCACTGGAGATAGCACTAGAAGTACCTATAGAAAAATTAAATAACATGTTTTAAGCTGAGCGTTACTCTCTTTACTCTCGCTGTTTGATATTTTCATCAATTTACCACCAATCGGTGCAAAAACCTTAATGAATATCGGTTTGGCATCCGAAACGATAACCACACTACAAATGAGCAGCGCCCAAATCGGAATTGTTCTCAGCATAATGATGATGACAGCGTCCACTTTATAACTAACCGGCCACCGCAAGTCGCCACTCACTTTTATACTCAGTGTCAGCCGAACTATGAGTTTTTGTTGGTTTTTTGTGTTTGGTTAGTTTATGATCAATGTGTGATTTGCTTTAGACACTTTCTGTATGGCGCTCAAGTGGCTGACAAATATAATGCGAATTCTAATGTCCCTGAGTGAAGCCTCGGTTTAGTGGGTATATAGTGAGTGGGAAGTCAGCACTCGTATAGTGTGAAATGATTCCGTTCTTATAATTTAATAACGATAACTAAGAGCATGCAAATGTCGCTTAATCGTATCTTGGCACATTTGATTTTTAGTATTTTGCTTCTTATTTGGCCTTCCTGTATGCATCGTCAGAAGCGGCACGCATTCTTCTAATTCGGTTTGTTGTGCTGACTCAGCACAATTTGTCGCTCAAATTTTGCATAGCAAGTATATTTTGGTAGCATGCTCTAGCTGAAATGTATATCATTTTTTATTTAAATTGCCCTCTTTATTCAAACACATCATCATTCGTGTAGAGTGTGGATACTCTTTAATCTTTAAGCACTTCAACTACAAATCAATGTATTTTCTATTTATAGCATTAAAATCTACATAATCTTAAAAGATTTTATTTTTCATACTACTGTTATAGAATTATTTAAGTGAATGGCGAAATATTGTATGTTAAAGCTGATAATAAGTGCAAAAATAGTATTGTTAAATCTTGTATTAAGACACATAATGATTAGCATTTCGACTCGACCAATGATACCCACATTGGAATCATAGAGAAAAGCCACACCCTTTCAATTCAGTTATTTCAAGCAATGTTATAAGTACTTCCACTATAGACTCATAATACGTACACATAAAGTGTACTTTTTCAACTTTATGACAGTCGATTGTTTGCATGTGTGCTCATCCCGTTGAACTACCCATAAGTCGTTACATCATAATCTCTATTTCTCCATTCTCTCACATTCTCACACACTCCCTATGTCACCGAGTTTCAATCTCTCTGTCGATGCTTCCGCTTGCTCTATTTGGCTATCCGAGAGTGGTAGTACTCATAAAATATTTAAAGCATTGCCAAACAGTTTTGCAACTACAGCCATTCGAGAACGTGAAGAGGTCTGCTTAAAATATGTACTTATATAATATGTATGTGTGTCTGTGTGTGTATGCATGTATTTATTGGTTGGCTCTTGCTGAAATACGCAGGAATTATATGTTTGCATTCATTTATGCAAACAAACATGGACACAGACTCTGTGTAACAGTAAATTTTTATAGGCAACACTTTGGATCGTAAAGAAAAACGATGGCCACAACAGCATTTGCTGCTGAGGCAGCGAGATGGGGCATTTAATAATTTAACCACGACTATTTAGTTTCCATTTCCGCCAAATGCTTTCGTGTTAACGCCTCCGCATGCAATAAATAATCCGGTGTGGCCAGAAGTTAACCGAAACTCTCCCGCAACAAGGCTGACAGCCCAAAGCAGAGCTCGGGCCAAGTCAGAGTGTTACGTGCTGCATGTTATATACCTATAATGTTCAGATATGTGTATGTACGTATGCACGTGGAAATATATAGTGTGCATAAGCATAGGCATTTGTGCCGAGCAAAAACCAAATCCCTTAATGTTAACCCATAAATATTTCATTTTATTACTCAACCTCAAACAAGGGTTATACTCGGTTGAGCGACGCAACATCAAAAAAATGTTTGCCATAATTTATCGAACTTTCATGGTATGAACGAACTGCCCAACACTTGGCATTGGGCTTGGTTTATGGAAAACGAGGATTCTTTCGTTAGAATCATTGCAAAATATGCGTATGCAAAGCCTTTTTTCACTCACATCATTTGAAGTCGCTTCACACTGATTTCATTAATTTAAAAACAAATCTCGGTCAAATGCGGAAATACACAAAAGTGGGAGCTGCGGCTAATACTAATGATTCATCTGCGGTAGATCGAATACTGGTTTTTCCAAGTTTTCAAATTATTTTGCTTAGTAAATGGTCTCGTACAAAAACTTTATTTTTGTAAACAAGATATTCTAAGTTTTTATAACTTTAAATAAATTAGATTTGGAAGAGATATCAACAGGTTAAAATCTGATGTAACCAAAAGTAATACGATTTCCACAGACTCAATTCGAATAATCTGTCAGCCAATGACTATCCGGATATGTTACTTAAACAGTGAGTGCTCATCTCAAACTCAAATAGAAACCACTTCAAATCACATCTGAACTAACTGACAATCACCGAGATCTACTATCTTACACCATGCACGAATTGAGCAGTAAACACAGATTATCAGTGCACAACGTTGGAGGGGGAGGCTCTCTCAAAGTTGATAGATCGAAAATTAAATTATGCTACAATTTAGCAAACCCCGTAAAAGTGGCCAAGCTGTTCTTGCAATTTTAAGTACTCCTTTTCGGAGTCGTCTATGGCTGCGTACTTATTAGAAGTGCCTTTCAATTGCCTTGTTAGGATTCAATTCCATGCCAAGCCAAGTCAGGACAACGCAGCGCCATGGCCAGTTGGCAGGATAGTTATCAGGAGTGCGACTGCCAGTGACACAAGTGCTTGAGGCACTAACTGCCCCCTTTTAGTTCAATGAGAGCGTTTCAAGTATTCTTTTATTTTTTTCTTTTTAATATCCAATCCTGTTTTTTGCTGGCCTGCCGGCTGCGAAAAGGAAAGTGCGAAATTGGCGTACTATGCGACAGACCTATGAACGGGCTAAGTCTGGGACTGGGACTGGAACTGGGACTGAGACTGGGTTATTGTTTCTCTTGATGGCGGGCAGCTTCGGTTGCGCCATTGTTGTTGTGAATGTAGATTTAGTGGAAAAATGCCATAATGTGCCAACTACAAGCAAGAAAACAGCAAAGTGCGTAAAACTTTTAAGTGCTTTCGAACATTTTGACAAGTTGCCTTTTTGTTGCCATGAATGGGACCAATAATGTTCCAAAGTAAACTTATTTGCCTGACATAATCAATGAAAATAACGTGAATGGCCATCAGTGCAAGCGACGGCCTCAGGGTGCAGATTGTACCGAGTTCGGGATTATGTTCGATTCGATTGTTTTTAGCCTCTGAACTTTTTCGTTCAGTGGCAAAAGTGACGTACACTTTTTGTATCAAATACATGGGTCTACAAAATAAATGATATGTCCGCAGTTTCTATTTGTTACTAGATTTTACGTATTTTATTTTTCGACTACTGACAGATATACTTTTTACAATAGTCTATTCACAAAGCTATGGAAATCCTTAAATGGCAATTGAAATCTAATAAAGAGAATAAAATTCTCTTTTTTTGCTTTTGAAGAGGTATATATTTATCGGTGCTCAGAGCTATGAAGTGATTTTACATATTTGGTCGCTTGAGCGAGAAAGTCAAAAGTTGGGCTGCCCCTGCTCCGGTTCCTGCTATTGACGGCTGTAGAAGGGCAACCAATGCACGCGAGCACAATGCCCTTCTTCATCTCCTCCGCCCATACCTGTACATGGCTTTAGGAAGTGCACACAAACACCTTCGGCTATACATACACTCACTCACTCCTGCTCATGTGGATGTCGGTACCAGTTGCTGCAATTCTGAGCAAACAGACATGAAACTTGGGTGAAATGGCTTCCTATGGGAATGTTTACATCTGGAATGAATTTGCAAAACTCTGACAGTTGTTTGCGTTTTCTGTCAGTCAACGAGTCAGTGTCAGTGTCAGTGGGACAGACACATAAATAGGCAGGCGGGCAGACAGACAGACAGACAGGCAGGTATTTATTTGCTGGTGCTTCCGACATTTCGTTTCGTTTAATTTAATCGGGAGCCATTCGACAAGTTGAAGGGTACGATTAATTTAAAACCTGCCAATTTTTCGCATTTCCCATTTCCTCAAATAAAAATGGCAGTAGTGCACACGGTGTCAGTATTCCATCTCATATCTCATGCACCAAAAAAAAAGGGCTGCCGCTCCAATGTCAAAAGCTGTCGTCTCAAATCGAATCCATGCCAGCCCACGAGAAGATCCCATTGGAAATGTGTGAAAGATTTTATCACGTATGAAAGCCATTAGGTGACCGTGTGACCAGCGCAAAATCCATGAGACGCATTTACATCTTATACATATACTTTTGAGGTTAAGGACTACGAATAGTTGGCATGGCCTCAAGCCGTTTGAATTTCCATTACGGCGAATGGGCATAATATGGCAACTCATCTTGACGGTAATCGAGTGCCTCATAACCGTTACCATCAACATAATGATTGACATAACCATAACCCAAACCAAAAACGCGATGAGCTTCGCCTCAACGAATAACCGTCAACCAATTTCAGTTGGAATTTGGCCTGTTAACCGGCCACAGAATGCGATGACTTCAGTTTTGATATCCACGAGCAGTTGTAACAGTTTGTGGCAACAAGCTTTATCTGCTTCAGTTGCCACAGTCTGTGGTGCCACCCACCTGCTTCACTGGTTAAGCCAATAGACAGAATCGTAGTTCGTTTATAGTTCTCGGTATTTATTTATTTGCTGAAATATGTATTCCGAATTAATGTTTTTATTTATTATTAAATAAAATTGCTTATGAAGCATTTGCCTACATTTGACTAGCCTAGCTTGCCAAATTTTTCTACATCATGCAAAGCTTTGGTATTTTACATTAAAAACGAATAAAAGGAACTAATGCGTAGCTAGGAGTAGACACAAAGTAGACAATATAATTCATTGTATTGTGTATTATTTTTTCTTTTCTTTTTTGTTACTACTCGAAGTTAGTTTTTATGTCATGATTCATGAATCAATTAAATAAACCGATTAGCTACTGACAGCTTTATTAATATGTATTGGCCATAATTTGATCTGACATTTCTGGCCATTGGCTTAAACACATGTTGCTGCCCCCATTCACTTAGTTGCTCCTCATGGAAAATGTCTGAGAGTAAATACATTTATTAGC